ATCATGAAGTTAGCGGAAAGTGTAAAATACCTCTTAATTAACAGACTGAATACAAAGTCGTTGAGGAAGCCTGCACTCACATTTTGTTGTTGCACGGGATTTAAGAATGTGGCGTGTGCTGCTGATGAGATTTATCAGTAGTATATAGAGAGACGTTCACCGACTTCAAATTATCAAAAAGTGGAGAGAGAGAGAGACGTCAAAGTGAGCAAATGATTCAATGTCGCGATAAAACATGAGAGACACGAAAAGAAGACAAAAAGCACAATACGAAGTGGGGCAGAAGTAGTACAACGCAGAATATCTGTGCAAATCACCGTTTGAAGATAAGGTGTACATAATTTTGCCAAATAGACACACCAAATTCCTAATAAACATTCCCTTACCAAGTTTCTTGTCTTCTACATTCAATAAACATTGCATAATCAAACAGCTACTAAAAGTGCGCCCAGTGATGACAACAAAAGGAATTTAAAACATCTACAATATTTACATATGAGGTAGGGTACTTCAAAAGTCTCGAGGATAATTCTCAACAGATCATTACAATATTGTGCATCACTGGTATAAAAATAAAAAAAACTTGTGCACTGTGGTAGAGTGTAATTCCATTATGAGTAAATTTTGTTTTGATAAAGTCTCACAGTGTTATACAGTAATGTTTACTGATGACGTTTCAAGCACAATTTATTGCTCATAATCGTCATTACAAAAGCTGACAAAGGACACTCGACAGTAGTCTTGGATAAATCTGACTATAACAAGAAAGTCACTGAACATAATGAGATTGGTCCATATGAGGAAATTAAGAAGCCCGTAGATACAATAATGAATAAGGTTAAAAAATCCACAGCGGAATTAATACGCAGAATGAAGCCGTCACTGGGTGAGTCAAAATGGTTTAATTTAACGCCTAAAACTGATAATGCTAGTAGAATGTATGGTATTATTAAAATACATAAACCAGGGTACCCCATACGACCAATAGTAGATTTTAGAAATACTCCTACTTATGAATTATCAAAACACTTAGCTCTAATATTATGCCCCATTAGAAATCGCTCAAACTCTAGACTAGCTAATTCATTTGAGATGAAAAATAAACTAAATGACATTCAACTAGAGAATGATGAAACAATGGTTAGTTTTGATATAACCAGTCTTTATACTAACATACCAATCAATATGGCCTTAGAAGCAGTTAAAAAAGAATTAACTGCAGACCCTGAACTCACTTATAGGACGAAACTACCCATTGATGAAATTATTTTAGGAATTCAGTTGTGCCTCACATCTACTATCTTTAAATTCCAAGGCAAAATATATAGACAAACTGAAGGTGTAGCAATGGGATCCCCAATATCCCCTATCGTAGCAGATATATTTATGGATAGCTGGGAAAATATGGCTCTTAATACGTTTAATCCTACTCCAAAAATATGGTGGAGATATGTGGATGACACTTTCACAGTGTTAAAAACAGAACATATCTCTAGCTTCTTGACACACATAAACTCACTAGTGGAGGGAATAAAATTCACATTTGAAACCGAAAATGAGCAAGGAGAATTAGCTATGTTAGATTGTAAAATAAAACGAATAGAAGAAGGCAAACTACACACTAGTGTTTATAGAAAACCAACGCATTCTGCTATAGATATTTAGACTTTAATTCATCTCATCCTTTAACTGTTAAGGCAGGCTTAGTTAAGTGTTTAACAAACCGAGCAATGGCACTAAGTAGCACAAAAAAAGACCTAAATGATGAAATAAAACAGATAGAAGAGGCGTTGGTGTTAAATAACTATCCTATAAAATTCATTAGGAAGATTGAAAAAGGCCAAAAGAAAAATAAAAAGAATTGTGAAACTAGTAATAATAACATAAATAAGAGAGAATATAAGTCATCTACAGTTATACCATATAAGGAGGGGACATCTGAGACCCTACGTAGGATTCTCAATAAAGCAGGAATTAGGGTGGCATTTAAACCTACAAACTCACTCAGGGACAAGCTCTATAGGTTAAAGGACCCAGTTGACCCAATTAGACAAAATAATATTATTTACAAAATATCTTGCAATGACTGTGAGGTCATCTACATAGGTCAAACTAGTAGGTCAGAGGTAGTCAGGTTGTCAGAACATAAGTATTTAGCTAAGGTAAGAATGGTTGACCCCGAGAAGATAAGTAATTTAGAAAAAAGCTCAGCAATTGCAATGCATGCATTAACACACAACCACACAATAGGGTGGGAGAGGGTTAAAATTCTAAAAAGTAATCTAGGTAGGTGGAGAGAGAGGTTGATTACTGAATCTTTGTTCATCGAATCTACACCCAACACATGCAATAGGAATGAATCATCACTCATACCTGAAATATGGAAAATAATACTACCAATCAAATCAAGTGAAAAACAATGGAACTATATAAATGAATTTAGGAAGTCGTGTGATTAACTTGATATGATTATGAGCAATAAATTGTGCTCGAAACGTCATCAGTAAACATTACTGTATAACACTGTGAGACTTTATCAAAACAAAATTTACCCATAATGAAACAATATCATGCAATCAATGTCAGCTAGGAAACGCATATTCATGATTCAAAACAGTAGATCTGAAGAAATCAGATTGTTCGACAACAGAAACAAACTCAGTTCTCATTTACGCTTAGCGAACTGTATATAAAATCTTAACAAAACTAATAAATATTTACTCACAGATGCAGTCGTAAGCTGTAACCTGGATGCTGTAGAAGACGACAGTCTTCTTCGCTTTCCACAAATACTCTGGAATTGTCGAGAACGCCTACCGCTCTTATTTCTCCTCACTGCAGACGAACTATCACGGCGTGCTTCAGCTGAAACAATTTACAAAGCATTGAACGTGTACAGTTATAAATTACTCAGTAGATAGCTCTATTTTTAAAATGAAATTAACGATAAACGAGATCAGGTGAAAACTCGAGAGAGCTTTAAAGCTCATTCTGATAAATCACTACAAAATACGATACTGTAAAGCCAGTGCGTCGGTGGCACAGTGGTTAGGACGCTCGCCGACCATGCACATGGTTCGGTGTTCGATCCCCGACCGACGCACTCCTTTACCCCGCTAAGTCAGAAATGAAAGCTGGTAAAAGGGGAAAGGTGGGGCATGAAGCTTGCAACCTCATCATGTAAAAGTAAAATACTGCTACATAAACTTTCAGCCTCTAGCTTGAAGCCCTATGTTCCACTGGGAACGTGAAGGAAAAAAAAGTTAGAAGAGACACCAACAGTTACAGTAGTGACACAGCATCTCAGAGTAAAATTTCATCATCAATATTGAACAGTTTTAGGATGTTTCGACGTTACTACAGTGTAATGGAAGAACTTACTGAAAATTCTTAATTCCCAAATCCTCCTGTTCAAGACACTACTCAAACTTTCTTACAATCTTTTATTTATGGGTACAAAATCATCAAATTCGAAGGTGGACACCAGCAATAATCCAATAAAATCTTTATAGATTAAGATGAATCCACCACATTTGAACTCTCACAGAACACTGTTGTCAGATGAAAACAATAATCTCAAAGTTACGTACACAAAACAGTTTAGCCAGAGGAAAATTTTGTCAAAGTAGGAGACAGATAACTACATCAAATCCCAGATTAAGAAACATAAAGAATGAGAGTGACAAAATGCTTTGGTCAATAAGCTTCTACGAAGTGTATTCTGGTTACAGGGAGACACATCACATTAGAAGTGTTTATCCAAAATGACCTGTATACTTACAGGAAGCACTGATGCAGCTTTAGGCCTAGGGTAACTGAGGTCGTTGAAATCTTCTGCTCACTACGATCTACCCATGAATGTTACCTGGAGTAGTGTTAGACTGCAGGGAAACTAAAGGTGGTTGAATCAAGGTAAACACCACACCATGGAGTAGTCTCGAGATGTAGCTTCAAACCATATACTCACCTCAGCTTCAGTAGTAAACACTTCGCCAACTAGTGATGATGGACAATCTGCACGACGCATTGTGTTTACTCTTTGTGATATCCAACAGTGTCAGAATTTCAACAGACTTTGCTGACTTATTTTTTCAATATTTCTATTACTTTAGTGACTGACACTGTTGGAAATTGTAGTAACTCAAAAACACTGCACCTCTACAATCTCACCGTGCCAAAATGGGCCATCTCTCTCTTGGCGTCGCGACATTAGTCTCACTATGAAATATCGTCAACTTAAATCAGAATAAGTAAACAAGTAAAAATAATAAAATCCCCATACAATAAAGGCTGGATGAGAATGAGTCAAGCAAGATGGGTATCTCGAGCTGTTCAACAGCTTTCTGCTCTCCACAACAGTCTTTATTCAGCACACCACAAGCTTCAAGAGAATTTCTGACAACACCCTCTGAGAAGCTCCATTCGAATTATCGTAACACTACCGTGGTGGGAGAGAGAGAAAGAGTTCAATCACTGTTATCTTCAGCCTAGTGTAAGCAATTTACAGACATACAATAAAATCAAATGGGTTATAAACAATTCGTAAAAATATTCAGTTACCTACAGGATTCGCATATCTCCTCGTCACCCTGAAAAGAAACAAGGTTCACAAGGTTAACTAAATGTCTTATGGAAACAGAAATAAAACAAAACCTGATACCCCACCCCATTGGTGGAAACCTACATACATAAGCAAAATACTTGTAAATCGGAAATCGCCAACAGTTTCAGTTTCATATACACAAGCTCATTTACTACTACTTCATGGCAGACACAAAGGATAAACCTTGACAGAGATTATACTGAAAACCAGTAATTTAGTTTCGACTGAGAACTTCATTGAAACAAATTTAACTAAAAGGGAGAGTGAGTTGGATGAATTACAGTCAATTCACCAGATTCACACTTCTGACCAACGTTAAACCTATCCTATCACATCACAAGCATCAATCAGCAGAATGTAAGCTATGACGAAGGCGAATGAAAAATAAATACAACTTCTAACTTAAAGACACGATTACCACCTCAGAAGTTGATACCTCCTTATTTTCTAAGCGAGATAAGCAGCCTTCTGATTGTAAACACTCATTGTTACAATTTTCTGATGTAATCTTTTCTGGTGTTGTCTCAGTTGACTCGTTTATAGTGCTTACTTCACGCAGTTGAGCTTTTGTACGAGGGTGACTTGTGTTATGCACCATTACGTTATTGGATTTGACAGGTAAACACGAAGAATTAACATTGAAATGACTTTCGTCAATTACTAAGTACCCACGGTCCCGTTGTTGAATATTGAAGGATGAACGTTTATATTGACCACAGGAAATTCGTGGCTTGTCTGTCGACATCACAGGCAACTTCGATGGTGAATACAATTTCGACATTTCCGAAGCCAACTGAGGAGGATATCGTAGTCTACTACACTTTTGGTTGACATATTCACGTATCACAGGATTTTCAATGTGCGAATCACCAACCAAACCAGTCGATAATCGAAGAGAAGGAGACAACAAATCACTCACATCATTCCCAGGTGATGTAGATCCTGCAAAGACATTTTCTATGCTTGATAAAGCAGTAGGCGGTGTTACCGAAGCATCGCTGGAAGTAGCCACTTCATCCGCCGAAGAACAAAGGTTGCTTGAATCTTTACCATGTACGGAACTGATTGAATCGGAAGAAGTACTTGTGCCAGTTACAGTGGAAGTGCATACTGACTGTAAACCATCTGAATTGTTGGACGACTGACAGCTGGAGTCAGCGTCAACTAGGCGAGTGTTTTCACGAGCAGCTGACACTTGGTTTACAAAGTTATTCTGTCTGTCTGTCTGTTTTCGACATAGAACTTTGCACATATGTGCGGCAGTTCAAGTCGCCACACTCCATGTAGCACGCAAAGCAAGAGAAGAAAGTAGGAGAAATGCATAATATAGACAGTAAACAGAGGTGTGAGACAAAGGAGTAGTAATAACGAAGAACGAACAGTTTCATCGGAAATCATAAGTCACAAGGAGTGGATGCATCTGCGCCACTGAGAACGATTTTGAGCCATGTCACCAATTGTTTCCAACCATTGGATTTTACCGTCCCGAGGACCCCAACCAGGAAGTCTACATCTCCCTACGTGACTTAGACTAACTGTTGTGGATTTCATTGACTGGTGAGGCCATGTTTTCGTTTGACCGCCACTAGCTCTTTTCCAGCCTGGCCCTATATCAGCTAACATTGCCCATTGTCAAGGAAGGCGATGACTAGGCATACGTAACACATGTCCCAACCATCTCAGTCGATGTAATTTCACAGTTTCATCGATTGGTTTCCCCGCCTTACCTAGCACTCGACGCCTGACCTCAATATTTTTCACCTTATTATACCACTTCACGCGGGAGATGGAACGCAGACACCTATGATCGAAGACAGCTAATCTTTTCATGTCTTCTGCTCTCAATGGCCAGGTCTCACAGCCATAAAGGAGGACGGAGCGGACTGTTGAGCAGTACACACGCCCTTTGGTTGATAGTCGGATATCGCGTCTACGCCAGAGACGGCGTAAACTGGCGTATGCGAACCTAGCCCTCTGTATTCGTGCTGAGATTTCGTCGGCGACCCGACCGAAAGCTGCTACCTTGACGTGGTGGTCGGGCTTGCATATCGCAATGACCCAACGAGCTACACTGGCTGGAACTTAAGTTCCTGTAGGTCCTACCATGCCAGAAAGGTTGTTTGGATAGCGGTTAGACAAAAAGCAGCTACCCAATCCAATGCCATGACTCAAACAAAAGCACAAAATATCATGCCGGATCGGTCGGGGCCCGGATTAACAACGACCGCGCTTCCTGATGCCGTGTCACAGGGCAGAAGTGATAAATACGCTACTGAGACACACCAAATAAAAAAAGAACAAACAAAAAAAGAACAAAGTTATTCACATGGCTAGCATCATGAGTAGTTGTAAAACTGGCAGTTCGAGTAATGTTGTGACACGGGTCGATATTAGACTGTGCATTGGCTTCTAATGAATCAACCGGTTCCGGTTTGATCACCAGTGGAAGACTGTTGTCTTCGGAAGTGCTTCTTTTGTACGATAAAGTTGCCTGGCGCCATGAAGAAAATGGATCTTCTAAAATGGCAAAACAATACAACTATAAAGAAGTTTGCACGGTTATCACACAGTAGTAAGTAACTCACAATTAAAATAATTCACGAACAAATGGATTTCACACCTCAATACGTGACTATGAACCACAAATTTCACACACACACACACACAATGGTCAATAGGCAACACCATCTGTCGTATCATTTAAAGCAGAACAAGAAGATCTGTCCATCTTCAAATCTTATGCATAAAACGCGCACTTATACTTTAAATGGCTATGCCTTACAGTCATAAATAAGGATGGAGATGACTGTTGAGCAGAACATATTTCCTCTGTCGATAGCCAACCAGATATCACGTCTACGCAATGGACGATGTAAGCTGGGAAGTGCCAGACAGCGCTAATCTATCCATGATGAGAGTTCCTCAGTATGTAATTATTCCATTAAGGCCGAAGACACTTAACAAATAAGCGCAGTCGTCAGCACAGTGAACCACTTCACTCTTCATGCGTTAAAACTAGTAGTAGTCGGTGCAGATAATTTCTGTAGCAACAGATTACATTCGACAGGGAAAATTGTATCGCAAATATACTGAATTACCTGCCCAACGTGTTGAATGCGGTACATGTTTGATATTATGCAACTTATAAGATCTCTGAAACATAATCCACTGAAATTCCTGCTCTGAACATACTGGTTTCCATTGCAGATATGCACATAAAGTTCACTCATTTATTTGCGATGGAGGTTGAATAGTAAGAGCAACGAAACATTACTCAACCAACAAACACGAATATCAACAAATCAAAAAGGAGGTCTAGAAGCTCATTCACAGAGAGCTGCTACATACTTCATCTTCAACGACAACGGAAATAAGCATATGCCATTGAAAGTCTACAGACTCCTCCACAGATTTCATCACCACCTAGTACTTCAAACCAAATGGACAACACATTTTGCCATTTCACTTCACATCCTTGAAACAGGAGTCGTGAAATCCAGTCCTCTAACATCACTTTATATTTCACAAGATAGAAGCACACACCAAACTCACTCACACGCTCAGTGGCATGGAGGACAATACCTTCTCTAAGACTTTCCAACTAACACAACAGTCTAATGAAAGTGCACTAAAAGTCGAAACCATCTCCCCCTACCAAGTCGATTCCTCAAATCAAACATCAACAGAGGCAGTGACTACTTCGAAGTCTACACAACCTCTAAAACAACTGACTGCATCAGTTGACTAGAGTCATACATCACTACCAAAACAGACATTCTCAGGAATGAATCCGACAAAGTCACATATAGTTGAGTATTTCTGTATTCATGAAACTACGAAGGGTTACCTTCAAAAAAAATAAACTAGTTTAGGTTTGTAGTCTTTTGCGTGTTCTAAGATGTGTGACTGCTAAGTAGCTTTTAATCTTTCAACTATTACTGATTGCAACACCTTACAAACTACACAACTATTTGTAGTTCCACACACTTAAATTAGCACTTTAAATATGACGGAGAAGATTTGTAGCTCAGGTGGATGATTTTGATGAGGTTGTGTTCTCTGAACTGGACAGTTGATTTGCGAAGCTTTCACTGCCCCACCCGCCCCAACATCTTCAGCGTATACTTCAAATTTGAGTAGATTGAAAATCCCCATTGAGTCATATGAAAAAGAGAAGACATTCAGCGAAGAGACTCTTTTCGGCGAATTCATTCACATAGCTGTACAATCGCATTTATATATAAATATTTGTGTGTGTGTGTGTGTATACATGAGGTTTGTCAAGTTTAGATAATTGATTAGTTAATACAAGAATGATGTAGTATAGAGACAAAGTTAATCAGACAGTAACTAAAGTAAGATTGAGTTAAAAAGCTAGATGACGTAATATAATTGGCTAAAATGTTACAACTTAGGTCAGGATAGCAACAGAGGTAATTACAGGTAGAGATTAAGTAGAAGTGAAATTGAGTGAATAAGTTGGATGACGTAACATGAATGACTAGAAACTGAGCGTTGTTCAAGTCAGTAACAGTGGTAGTGAGGTGTAGAAATTGAATCGGGTGGGGGTAGAGAACAAGAAGTTGAAAATGTAAAATGTTACAATTGAGAAGACAAAATAATACTAGTGAAGATACAGAAGCAAAGATTAGGTAGAATTTACATGTCGGTACATAAGATAGATTACGTCCATTGCAAGTGTAGTGATTGAACGAACTTCTTCTGTATGCAGAGTTCAGGACTTAGCAAGTGAATCGCCATTGCTTCTGCAGTTTGAAGAAGTCTGATTCGTACACCTTTAGGGAGACTACTTCTTACTCTGTAGACGACAACTTGACAAACCTCATGCACACACACACAAATATTTATATATAAATGCGATTGTACAGCTATGTGAATGAATTCGCCGAAAAGAGTCTCTTCACTGAATGTCTTCTCTTTTTCATACTTCAAATTTGTTGAAGTGAGATTTTAGATTTCTCCACCGGTGTGTTAGTCATCTCTCCTGGTGACCTTGAACTTGATTGGTTGTCTTTGTGTGTTTTCACACCCTATAGACGGCTACTTGTATTGGAATTGATTGTTCCCTTGACTTGAACTTTGACCCTTTGTGTGTGTGAGATTTCCTGCTTATCGGTTGGTAGATTTTGTGAAAAATAATCTAGATTCACTTACGCCTATTAACTCTTTCATCAAAGTTGTAACACACACAAAACCAAGATATCTTAAGTTGTGCTAATTGTTCGCACACTCACTGATGTCTACTACTACTAATACTACTGTAACAACAGAAGACAAGGGCCAGGCAACAGATCGTTTATTACGAAAAATCAACACGTATTTATAGATTTTTATGTACATTATTGTAGGTCAATGTTAGTAGAAAATACAGTCTGTTGATTGGTTGTTTCTCACACAAAGTTAACCTTGCATCTCTTGTGGCTGTGTCAGTTCATCTATATGTTAACTGTAACCGCCTGTCCACCTTGACCTTTGACCTCAATTACTGTCAACCAATTTGGCCAGCAACCATCTCTCACCACAACATGACTAATATTTGATACATAAACATTGACCTCAATTACTGTCCACCACTTGGCTAGTAGACAGCTCTCACCACACTACTACTACTAGGGAAATACAACCAGTGATGCAACTTTATAAGATATTTCAAGTTCATATAGACGCAATCAGCAACTATTAACGCTAGACATCATTCTCAAGGTTGAACACACCAATCAGTCACATCGTCGACCGTACATAACTATGGAAACTGTATTG